AACTCTGTGACAGGTGGATTGAGCAAGGGATCTTGTTCCTCCTCCGGCGGTGATCTGGGCGGTGACCTTCGCGACTGCGCGGGACCTGCGTGGAGACTCCGCGCAGAGACCTGCGTGGAGACTTGTGGGGAGACCTTTGTGGAGACCTTCGCCGGAGACCTGCGTGGGGATCGGCGGGGAGGAGCCCGGTGAACAGCGTCTATAGGGTGACCTGCGCGGAGATTAGCGACTCTTGGTTCGCCAATGCCTCAGCGAATCCCTCGACGATCTGCGTGATGTGGAAGAAGTTTTGGAAACTGTATCCGAAGTCCTTCGCGAATGCTGATCATCTGAGTCCGCATCTGGGGAGAGACGATTGGTCCTTCGCGAGTGCTTTCACGAATGCTGATCGTCCGATTCCGTATCTGGGGATGGGCGAGCCGTCCTTTGCGAGTGCCTGCGAGTGCCGAGTCCGCAGTAGGGGATGGTGGAGCCGTCCTTCGCGCAGTCTGGTCCTGAGGCGCAGATCCGTTCCCAGACGTCATGTTGGTGGAGGGCCTCTCTGAAGCGACGACTACGTTGGAACCTTCGCGAAGGCTCGGGTCCTCTCTGCGGGCTGGTTGTTGATCGTGCGATGCCCTCTCTAGCGCGAAGCGCTTCTCCATCATTTCCATGATCTGTTGGGAAAACTGTTGCATGAAGGCCCCTGGGTTGAATGTCTGCGGTGATAGATGAGCTGCCCTTTCTGTGGTGGTAGCGATATTGTCCATGACCCTGCTCATCTGCCGGCAGGGCAGATACCTCGGGCTGTGGAGAGATCTGCGCTGAAGTCACCGTTGCTGAGACTGGCCTCTTCTTGCGGTGTACCTCTGGGATGATGAGCGGCTGCTCATCGTAGAGTCCCTGTTCCCTCAACGGGACAATCTCGGCCAAGAAAGTCCGTGTAGTCTGCGCTGATTTCCCCTTAGAGGTGGTCGTCGCCCTGGGGGTGCATAGCCGTCTCTGGGTAGATGACTACTTCTTACTCTTAGGCTGCGACGATGGGACGTCCGGAGTAGCAGGACTCTTCGTGGAGGTGGCGGACACCGTCCCACGCCCGTCCCCGAGGAAGTCTCCGGCGTAGCACCAGATGGAAGAGGGTCGTCTGACAACAGTTGACCCGTGAGGGACTCAGCTGGTTTCTCCATGACCTGACAAACCCGTCTCGACCTATCAGCAGCACGTCTAAGGACGCAAAGAAGGTAAAAAAAAATAGAGACAACTCTGGTGAGTAGTGATTTTACGTCTGTTTTATTGAAGGGAGCTTCAATAGGAGATACAAGTGTTCCACTAAGTTCGCAAGAGGAAAGAGACCAGCAACAAGCATGAGTCAGGATAAGGAAAAATTATGACGTCTATTACGTATGATATTAAAAATTGACATTTGATTTATTTGAATCCATAAACTAAACAACCTTACTTTACCATTGCTAGAAGAATCTGAAAATTTACTTAGGTAAATAGGTACATACAGTTTTAGCACACAGCAAATGCTTATATATATTTCTTATGCAACAATGAAGTTCTGTTTGTATTCTCAAAACAGTGTCGGCCCATAAGTTTTCACATGCAATTAAAATTGCATGCAATACAGCAATTAATACTCCCTTGTTGTAACCTGTGTTAGGTGTCTATTTAGGTTTGTTTTCACCGAGTTACAAAATCAAAACTACTTTCTACTGGTAGTAAAATATGTATTTGATTGATGGCCAATAGGATTTTGCATGACATAGCTTATAACAAAACAATTTCTCTCGTGGAAGCAAGGTGGGTGTCAATATAATACAACTTACAGTATTATTGTTACTTTGACCACAACCTCGCTTGCGAGGAAGAAATCGTTATGTTATAAGTTGTGTCATGGAAAATCTTTATGGTCATCAATCATATACATATTTTACTACAACTAGTAAGTAGTTTTGATTCTTTAACTTCCGATATAAGTAAGATATCTTTTCAGGCTTCCACAATGCTCGCTTTGCACTCACAAACATAACCCATTTAGCACGAACTGCGGGGTCTTGTGCAAATCTGTGCGACAATGTAATGATTCGGCATGTCTTCGTTGATGTCGAAAAATCATCAAAACGACGAGCTTGCTACACACTTTCTATACAACTAACTGAAAATCCTTCCTCATATGACGTCACTTTTACAACTTTTAATTGCTCGGTATTAATTAACCACAAGTTTTTTACAAATGAATTTGATGTTCAGCATAAGATTAACCACAAATCTTTCATATGTAATAGTTAAAAGAGTACAAAAAAACAAAGTTTATTTGTTCTTTAATGAAACATTAGCATGATTTCATGGGATACATATGTCACACAGATAATGGTTGTTGACGATGATCGACAACATAGTGAAAAACTCCCAAAACAATTAACACACGGGCATATTCCAGGATGTACTTAGGAAAATAGGAAAAGTTCAGATTCCAGTTAAAATATATTGGTCAGAAGGAACTTGAAAATTGAATTTTTTATCATCATACGACTATGTGTGTAGTAAAGATAATTTGTCAAAGTCAGTATGACGACGTGCATGCGTGTGTATGTGTATGTGCGGCTGCTTGTACTTGCCCATACTGAAGCTGGTTTTATAGTGCTAGCCCACTGAGATACCATGCCGCAGTGAAGCATGAATACCCCACTCAGACACATTATACTGACTCCGAGCCGACCAGTCCTTGTACCCATTAATGCCGAGCACCAGGCAGGGACCAACAAATACCATATTTTAACGTCTTTTGGTATGAAGCGGCTGGGGATCGAACCCGCGACCTTCCGCTCTCACCACTACACCACGGAGGCGGTCGGCAAGGACATGGAACTGGAGTTTACTTGGCAGGCCCTACCAGGAAAGTTCACTTAGGGAAAATGTTAAAATTGGTCTTAAGTAACCCACGTTTGTCGAAAGAGGTTATTAATGGGGTTGGGTGGTCAGCTTTGCTGACATGGTTGACATATGTTATCATATCCCAATTGTGTAGGTTGATCCTCATAATGTTAATCACTAGATTGTCTGGTCCCGACTCAATTATTTACACACTGCCATCATATAGCTGGAACACTGCTGATAGACTATGAGTGCAACGTTAACCAACAAACCAACAAAACAAAACAAAAATTAACCAATGTATTAACTGACAATTTTGCACATGCAAAACACTACAATTGCTTTAGGAAGCCTTCTCTGCTTTTCCAATTTTAGTTTACAAATTGCGCTGGCAAAGATACAGTTCCATCACTTTAAGAACACTTTCTTTCACAGGCTAACACTCAGTCAGTGAAAACATACAAAATTTTATTTCGATGGACACAAACAACTACATTTAACTTGAAAAAGAACTGCAGTGAGATTAAAAAATCGCTAAAGTGAGTTAGTGTTCTTGCAGATGTACCTGAACCTGTGTGGAAAATCTAGATATGCTTTATTTAGGCATAACATAAAGAGCTGGCAGAAAGGAGCATACAGTGGTTCCAGGGCTGTGAGGCTATGTCCTAAACTAAACCTGCATTTATAAACACCTCTGTGCAGCTGCACATTCCGAACAACAGGTGAAATTCTGAATGTTTTACAGGCAGGTGTTTCATTGTCTCATTTTATAGAAGTTATTGGTCATTGTTAGGAAGTTCAAGGTCATTGTTATCTGTAACATAAAGGTATGGGTCTGCACAATAAATAGAAGAGTAATTAAGGGTTAAAAAGAAATTTTCATCATGGGCCTCCGACCCCATGTTTATGAAGTTTATGGGCCATTTTTTTGGCAAGCATGGGCAATAAATTTTACTCTATGGACCATTGACATTTGCAGTAGGCCATAAATTCAAACAAGAATTGAAACAGAAATTGGCATTTAAGCCTTGTCAAGGTCAGGCCAGACTATGTCAGTAGTACTATGTTTATGATCAGTTTTGTCTTCATGGCAAATCATGCTAGTCGTTTTGAATGACCTCAGCTCAGTTGTCATGGTATAGATAACAAAATATTTCATCTTTATGAAAGAGTTTTAGATCTGACTCGTTCATGTAATATTAATAAAATACAATGCAGGGGTGGAAATAACCCATTAATAAAATACACTGTATACTGACTGGGAGGGAAACAAATTTCTGAGTGATTTTACAGTGAGTGAGTGAGTTATTTCCACCCCTGAGTATACTGACTGGGAGGGAAATTTTTATGACAGCTTTACACCGCTTTTAGCAATATTCCAGCAATATAACAACTGGTGACACCAGAAATGGGCATCACACATTATGTGGGGAATCGAACCCGGGTCTTCAGCGTGACGAGTGGACGCTTTTACCATTAGGCTACCCCACCAACCCTTTGAGTGGGAGAAGAAAAAATGCCTCATACCACACTCTGAGTTGTTTTAGTGAAGTTCCAAGCCATCAGGGAATGATAGAATCCTTTTGACATTCCTGACCACCATATTTCAGTTGTCCCTAGACTTGAACAAGTCCCTAATACAATAATTATTGGTTCAAATAATAATTTCTAGATTCTGTCAACACACAGAACAAGTTGTAAAAGACTTGCATGCCGAGATGTTCTGCCTGGACGTGCCTCTTTACAAGGACAGAATTGCTATACATCCATGGACTTAGCATTCTGCCTGAAACTGTGGAAATCTAGACTTGCTACATATTCTATACTTGCTTGGGCTTTCTTACATATAAGTGTTTCAGGGTATGTATGAGAGACTACTTTCAGTACAGCTTTGGAGCAATTAAATTATGGAAATTATGTGAGAGTAATTTAGTTTTTTTTGCTGTGTTTAGCAATATGCTATGAATATCATGGCTGGAAACACCAGAAATGGGCTTCACACATTGTAACCACGTGAGGTATCGAACCCAGGACTTCGGTGAGACAAGGAAATGTTCTAACCACTGGGTTCCTTCACTGCACTAGGACATTATGAGACAAAGGACAATGGACAAATGACAGCAGCAGGATTTTGTACTCACGCATTGCAATATGGAAGTTTATCGTATCCTTTGTAGTTCTTCATGTTTAATGTCATACTGCAAACTTGACATTTAAAACATGCTTTGTGCCACACCTGCAACAAAAGAAAAATGATTTGAGGATACAAATGATGAACGTATCTTAAACTGATAATCTAACAGAATCATTTACAAAGGCACTATTTCACAACACACTCCACTGAAAATAAATAATGCATTTCTCTCAATAATACTCAACTGTCAACTCTCAGGGAAGTAACCAAATAATTTATTTAAAACAATTATGCATTTAGATTGTAATATTACTTTGAACAGTTTGAATGAATTAATGCAACGTTGCATTAAATCGACTCTTGTGCCCTCTATTGGCTGAACATTATTTTAAGCGAACCCCATAGAGTTATGTCCCTTGGAGCACTCTTTACGAATATCCTATAACGCCTTTGGAGGCAGAACTCAGTTCTTGACAAAACATACACACAACTTGTGACTGAAACCAGTTCGGCAAACACCGACAATACTGCGTGCGACAGTTTTCGATGTACGGAGCAATTGTTTACATTCCATATATGGCAAGTAATTCTCTGTTTGGAAGCTGTTCATCTCGATATTTCAATTATTGATTTCGGGTAAGTCATAAGGGATAATAAGCCTTTAATTGGATCAATAGGAAGCTAAAGTGAGTGCATATGCCCCAATATATATAATATAGGTAAAAATATTGTTAAAAAAATGTGACATTGTGCCTTTAAGAAGTCAGTATGACTTTACACCATTTTTAGCACCAGCAATATATATATACAGTGGAAACACCAGAACTGGCCTTCTTGTATTGTACCATGGATATGATGGCATCTATCAACAAGGTTAACATACTGGCTGTCAATCACCTCTAATGTCAAGCATTGACAGCTGAAAATCACCTGTAAACCTCAGCTAATATTAAATGATTTTCGACAAGTTATATGTGTCAGTTGGGTATAAAGCAGCTTTGAACAGTATCGCTTTGACTCCTGTTTGACATGAGAAGAAACCCTAAAGTGATGCAACCTTAGACATTTACCTCTTGGCTAAAACCATGAAACTGTTGTGTTGGCCTAGGCATTTACCTCCCCCAAGCGTGTGGATGGGGCTGGTAAACCTAGAAATAATAATTGGTGGGAACCATGACTGTAACCAATGATCATAGGTTTTCAGCACGCCTTAGGGAGTCCAACTATTGATCTGGTAGTTGTTGCCAAGGATTGCCCATTTGTGCCTAACTAGTCTTTGGAGTATGGAGAAGTTACTCTTCTTGCTACTGTCTGGCGGTGAAACACCATGGCTAGGTCAACCAGGGCTCCAGATAAGGGCCGTATAGGCGTATGTACGGATATAAAACAAGCATGATATGGTAGGAAATAATTTAGAGAACGTAGCAGATACGCACCACAGCAATGGTGTACGGTCTTAGAATCATTTACAGACGTATTTATCTAAAAAAGGTATTGCAAAATTGTTTATTGACCTGTTTACACAAGAGTAGCAATGTTGTCGCTCTTATATGAAACGAAACACAAGATTACTGATACTCCATTAAATTCCATTCAGTAGTCTAAATGTACTCTTATTGTTTTCCAGTACTCCTATATTGAAAAAATTAGCAGTACGTACTCCTGATGTTGAAACGTTATCTGGAGCCCTGGTCAACCATGTGAAGACCAAGGTTAGACCTATGTCCTTATACCCAGGGCAAGTGTGAAGTGAGTAGCACAAAACATACACCTGACATTAAAGGATGTCCTGTGTACAATACAGAAACTAACTGGGAAAGAATCAATCTATACACATAAAGGTGATTATGTGTGTATGTTTATTGCAATCTGATTGGTAGAGGAATCTTCTATCACCTTTGTTTTGTGTAAGACATTACCTTATGACATGATATTGTTAGAATGTACCGCAGTTGTATGTGGAATGTGCATGCATATATTTTGTAGTTTGTTTATGATTGCCTCTGTTCCTACTTGCAATGTTACTTAATAAATATCGTCTTAAGATCCCCAAATCATGGTAGATAACATCCCACTGTACCAATGCTTAGATAATGTCTAACATTGCCCCAAAATAAACCTGAATGGGTGAGTGAGTGAGTGAGTGAATGAGTGAGTATGTGTTAAGGCTGTTTCAGCAATATTCAAGTTATATTTTTTCCTGTGTACAAGCAACAATGCTTTTAAGGTACGATGTTGGGAATCGAACCCAGGAAAGTACAACCAACAGTGATTAACAAACACCGAAACCTCTAGACTGAGACTCTCCCACCCAACCACCCCTACCTCCACACCTTCTATGTAACGTCAAGGTTGCACTGACTGTCTTCTGGACCCAAGAGAATAAATTAAATAGGAGCCGTACTCAAGCCCAGTATGATTTAGTAGTCTAAATGATGAATTGTTCTGGGCTCCATTGGTATTTGTTTTGTTGATAAATACATATTTTGATACTTTTCAAATAAGATAACTTCTGAGACTAAATGTCAGTCTACCTTAGAGGTGAGGTGCCACTGGTGACCTCTGGAGTGGAGAGGTCAGACCACTGCCAATCATTCATCAGAGATAGGCAATAAAGATGTACCTCAACTACAACTGCAGACAGAGTTGATGGCAGCACCTTGCCATCAACTAAGACATATTTAGAACTCTTCAATCCACCATTCAGGTAAAACCATCAGGAGAATGTCAGTGCCATGGCTTACTATTCCCTCAAGTGGAAGTTGGAGAGAGGTCAAGGAGATTTCAATAACTGCCTGCTGGAAAGACTTTGCTTGCTTTCAAATGCCACAGTCAGCAATATTTAAGCAAGATTAGGCAATCTATCAATAATCAAGTCTGGGTCAGACAACCCGGTGACTGAAAGCATGAACACTGATCCACACAATTTTGATGCAATGACATACACCCAACCAGGTCGCCAAGTCTGACATCCACAAAACCACTGCATATTTGTCCATTAATGCAAAAACTCTAGACCAGGGAAATCCTGCATGATAACTGGTCTGCGTCACGTGAAATGGTCTCAAGAGAGTTCACTAGTGAAGATCAGGGTTAGAATTGGTCTTCAGTAACCCATGCTTGTCGTTAAAAACTCTTAACTGAGTGTTAAATCCTTAACCCGCTGTTAGCTAACCGAACGTTAAAAGAGCGTTGCACAGTTCATGTTTAACACTGCCGTTTACTAACGTCATCATTATCTTTAATGTCGTGGTTAAAGTTCTATCAATCCCATAATGCAATAGTTTGTTTACTTCCGTCAATGTCAAAAATGGAGGCACCAAACGAGAAATCACCGCCTGAAAACCTAAAACCAAGAAAGAAAAGAAGTAGGAATTTTTCGGTGGTGGAAGAAAACATTATTCAAAGCTGGGTGGAAGGCACTTTGAAAATATTAAATGAAAAGCACAGTAATGAGGTTACTAGAAAAAAGAAAAATTAAATTTGGATGGAAAGTACCAAAGAAGTTAATACGAGAGGCGTTGCAGTCGACGAGGTAAAAGAAAAATGGACAAATATGGCCCGTAAGGCAAAAAAAGTATTTACAGACTTTCATATGCAGGCAAGGAAGATGATGTTACACAACCTGGTTAACTATTTAGCGGCGGTCCGTAGGTGTGTTAACTTTAACGCCAAGATAACGACGGGTTAAAGATAACCAGGTTTTGAGAAACGCTTTAACCACTTCGTTAACTTTAACAGCTGGTTAAGTGTATTTAACCAGTGGTTAAAAGATAACCGAGTTTTGAACAACCGGGCCCTGAACAATAAAGTAAAGACACCAATGCAAAAGCCTGGTCAACATTGTATCTAGATCCCTGTATGATTCAGAAAACTCTCCACAAGATTGAAGAACAAGAAGGATGGCCTGAACTTGGAAAGAATCATCTTTCCCACTATGACAGCAATATTCTAGCAAATCCAACAAGGCACAAGCTCATTCAGTGTGTTGTATGATACTTGCTCAAAAGTTATTTGATCAATGTTGCCTCATTCAAGAATTTGACAAGGCTTTCAAAAAGTCTTACAGCAGATGTGCATGCATCAGTGAACAAATTGATGTTTGATTCAATTTCTTGTACCAAGTGTTCTCATGTTTGTGTTTCTAGTGAACAATTGCCTTGCCTTGACCTGTGTTTGTGCCACACAAAAGGCAGGATATGATCACTTTTTGCAAACACCTGGTGTGATCAATATTTGATAGTTATTCGTAGCTACCTGCTTATGAATTAGGCAGAATTATTAAACTGATTCTGCATTAAGACTTCTTACGATCATGGAAAGGGTTTTGTTATTTAAATTTACAAACAGATTCTGATGCTAATGTATAAATTGTAATCTGACACTGAGGTCGCTTTTTTACTTCCTAGCTGTCAAATTATCATGTTCAGGGAAAATCTGGTGCAGAAATAAAATATTTGATTCAGAAAGTGCCCAGTTTTAACAGGCTAACAACATGTTTTCCTAAATGGTGACTATAACCCATCTGCCGAAAAAAGGAAGATGCCCTTTCAAATTTTATGTACAATCTATAATAACCTACTACAGGTAGCAGTAGTATACAAGATGGGTTCCTGCCACAATCCCCCACATTGTGCCCTTTCAGTCGAATTTTAGGGGTGCTGGGAGCCGAATTCAACCGAAAGGGCACAATGAGTGAACCCCATCGTGCATACTACTATAGCTGACACACTACACACAGAAACAGGTATCACACCACTGTAAACATCACCATCATTCATATCAGGATTCATATCAGCTATAAATACACAGTAACAATCGTTCCAGGCATTCTTGGCGACCGCTCTCTGACCTTTACAATCCCTGTTTAAACTGTAACTGACAACAAATGTGTTATAAAGTTCATTTGTTATATGTTTGAAACACATACATTTTACAGAAAATGTGAACTGGATTAGTAAACAAGTAATATCTGAAGGTAATACTCCTCAAGATTTACACACGATAACACTAAATATATATACACGGTCAAGGTTTGTTTTATGATTACAAAACTGGCAACAAGTTTCACAAGTTGTAAGGAAACAGTGTAATGACAGAAG